GAGTGGAGGGAGGGAGTGGAGGGAAGAGACGCTATATATTTTTCTATCACACCCCCCTCCCCCCACCCCAAAAACAACTCTTAGTTAAAGCATTGCAATTTATCGGTGCTTTTACCGTCGTCGTCATCCTCACTGTCTATCCACTGCTGGATGAAGATATAAGCGATGCCTCTCATTATGCGTCATGTCCTCCAATCCACGTGTTCGTCGCTCTGTCTCTCGGTGTAATTCCGAAGCGCGCATCTCTCCACGCCGTTTGCCATCGCCGCGCTCGATCCGCTACTGGATGAAGAGCGAATGTGACGTCTCCCTACGTTTGTGTGTGAGCATCTCTCTCCCCGTGCTTCCTTACCCACTAGTCAGCCTAACGCGCGCGAGGCCCCAGCTGCCCCAATTGCACCCTCCACAACCACCCACCCCTCCCTCGGCCCCCACCCAAACACCCACCCTCCCCTTCCTCCCCCCACGCACAACCACTCACAACCACCCACCGCTCCCACCCACCCCTCCCCCCCTCCCTCCCCCCACCCACCCCTCCCTCCCACCCACAACCACCCACACACCCACCCACCCCTTCCTCCCCCCCACCCACAACCACTCACAACCACCCCCCACCCACCCCTCCCCCCCCTCCCTCCCCCCACCCACCCCTCCCTCCCACCCACAACCACCCACACACCCACCCCTTCCTCCCCCCCCACCCACAACCACTCACAACCACCCACCCTCCCACCCCCCCTCCCCACTCCCTCCCCCCCACCCACCCCTCCCTCCCACCCACAACCACCCACAACCCCCCACCCCTCCCCCCCACCCAAAACCACCCACAACCACCCACTCCTCTCTCCCACCTCCCTCCCTCCCCCCCACCCACCCCTCCCTCCCACCCACAACCACCCACCCCTCCCTCCCACCCACAACCACCCACAACCACCCACCCCTCCCTCCCTCCCCCCGACCCACCCCTCCCTCCCACCCACAACCACCCACAACCACCCATCTCTCCCTCCCTCCCCCCTACCCACACACCCACCCTCCCACCCCTGGCCACTGCAGTATTCTACCCCGCCGATCGCCACGTCTCCTCGCCACCAGATACAATCTGTGTGCCCGTGGAAGAGGAAGGAGGAGGGGAAGGAGGTGGAGGAGGAGGAGGTGGAGGTGGCACCGTGGTGGACAGGCAACGTTGGATGCTTCTCCCACGCACGCGGAGGTCATGACCCCCCTCCCCGTCACCCACAGACAGGCGCCACGTGACTCTCCGATACAGAGATCGTATCGGGGACGGCGTGACGCGCCGTCCGACAGCGGCAGATCGGGGGCCCGATGCGCAGAGATCTATGGGACGGGGTGGAATCTCACGGATACACGCAGCGCGCTGTCCCGAGATCTCTCTCTCTCTCATCCCCCCCCCCCCATCCCCTCGGCTCCATCCCTTAGCCCGGCTCTGGGAGGACCGCTGTGCATCAAGGAGACCGCCGTCTCGAAGGACCGCTGTGTATCAATGAGACCATCGCTCAAGATCCCCTGTATAGCCTATAAAAGCTGTTGGGGCAAGTACTGTTAGCGAATAAACTCAACTAAACTATGCTTGTTTATACCAGGTAAGAAGGCACCACCGGGCTCGATAGCTCTTTTTCAAAAGCGACCTGGCCACAAGTGATAGCTCAACGAAGTGGCTCACCATCACGTGGGCATTTATAGCAGTCAAATACTCTGAAAGCGTGACGTTCAATCCAAATGTGGAGGGGGAAACCCTGGAGGGACTCTGAGAAAAATCCACGCACCACCACGGGGAGAGAAAGACACGCAAACTCTAAATTATGCAATCTAGATTTGAAGTTTTCGTGACTGCAGGGATTCATACTCTATGGTTATTTCGATAAAGTCACGTAGGTATAAAAAAAAAATATCAAATACATTTAATATGTTGTGGTTGCTGTGGTTGTCCCACCTGATGACGGACGCTTGTGTTGCGCCCGAAACGTCGTGATTAAAACAATTTTTTATACCTACGTGACTTTACCGAAAGAATCTAAATTATACAGGCGTTAGAGTCGGGATTGAACCCACGCGCTCAAGCGAGGAAGTTTACATATCGCCACAATGGGACGCCCTGGGCCCCAGACGAACTCTGCACCCTTACGGATCACTCGCGACAGAGCGAGGCCCCGCTCGGAGACGAGACCGGACCACACGGTGGGCAGAGGAGAGACCGGGGAGCCCCGAAGTCCCAAAACGCCAAGCGGCCAGCAACAAACGGCACCGTCGAGGGTCGAGTTGGCACATTCGACAGATGTATTATCAGGTGTAAATAACACAGCGTAGCCTCCATATCTCTCTTGCCTCTCTATTTAAGTGCTATGAAGAAGGGCCATGGCTCGAAACGTCGACCTGTGCACCACTGCTAACGCAGCAGCAGCAGCAACAAACAAGTTGTTTTATTTTACGGTAGCCGAGAGGAAAGGAAGCAGGAAACGATTTCCTGCAGAAGGCCCATACATCGAAACGTCAAAATCCCTTCCCTTTGCAATGACATTGAATACGTGTATCGAATTCAGCAAGGTTATTTAAGCCTCTGAAGGCAATGTCGCAAAATCTCAATGGTGCACGATTAACAATTAATATTTCCAAATCAGCTGGAGCCACCCCTAAAACCACGTGACGTCTGTTGTGTGGCCACTCCCACTGTGAGTCCCCTCCCCCATCCCCGCCCCCTGTGAGAACAGACGCCGCTCCCCCTCCTCCTCACCTCTTCTCACCTCTCCTCAACCCGTTTGCTACCGTCTCTCCGCTCCTTTCTCCATCCTTGCCCTCTCATTCCTCGCTCTCCCTCTTCTCCCCATCCCCTCTCCCCTTCCGTTCTCTCTTCCCATCCGTGACTCTCCGTCACTCTGCTGCTGTTGCCTGGTGCCATCCATTGAGTGCGTACGCATGGAGGGGGGAGTAGCGGGGGGTTAACCCAAACGCGTACGCTTGCATATGGGGGGGTCTACTGACAATTTACGCATAGGAAACGGGGGGGGGGGGTGAAGCCTCGATAACAATTTGTCTACATTGGCCTTCAAATGAGTTAGATAGTCCGATCTGTTTCCTTAAACACGTTAATATTATTAATCCTTGATCGTTTCTGCGTGGATTAAATATCGGCCGTTCTATAAGATTCGGGGGGTGGGGGGGGGTATGTCAAGCGTACGTACGCAGGTGGGGGTGGAGAGGGGGTTGTAAAGAGTATGCGTGCGTACCGGGAGGGGGATAGGGGTCACGTTGTGACAGATTTTTGCGTACGTGCTCAATGGATGGCCCCCGCTTAGCTCCGCGCGGTGTAAGTCACGGCTATAGCAGTCGCTCGCAACGTTCGATCTGTCTCGAACGCCTCCCGGGCGAGGTCGTTCTGTAACAATGGCCTCATCAGCATCGGCGTTGACATCGGCCAAGCTCCGGGCCGGTTTCCACAGTCAGGTGTCTCATCGGCAGCACAAGTCAAGGCTCGCGTGTGCTCGTCAAGCAATGCTGGACGGGTTTACTGCTGGCGAAGTCTCACTGTGTAAGCGGTGTGATTTGTCTGATCATTCGCATCGTTCCCCGTGTTCTCAACAAGGATCCTGATGAGAATCTTGGGTCACGTTCTAGTCCGGAGGTCCCGTTGATGTTAAATTAAATTGGGAGGGGGGGGGAGGAGAGGCGGGGGGGGGTGTGGGCTCATGGTCATCGCAAAGGACTTTGGGAGACCTTTATACAACAGGAGTGGATTGAACATTGCAGATAATGATGGTGATGGTGGTGGTGATGATGATGTTGACAATGGCGATGTTGGTTATGATGTTAGTAATGATGATGTTGGTGGTGATGACGATGATGATGGTGACGATGTTGATGATGTGAGTAATTGTGATGATGCTGGTAATAATGATGGTGGTGATGATAATGATGATGATATTGATGATGATGATGTAGGTGATGATGATGATGATGATGTTGGTGGTGGTGGTGTGTTTGCACAGTAAGGGGGCACAGGTGGAGCAGCTGGTAATAATGATGGTGGTGATGATAATGATGATGATATTGATGATGATGATGATGATGTAGGTGATGATGATGATGATGATGTTGGTGGTGGTGGTGTGTTGGCACAGTAAGGGGGCACAGGTGGAGCATCGGCCAGTCGTCTCAGTCAGTCGACCCACGGCACCTGCCGGGTCTGCCCCGTGACCTCCTCCTGCCGGCGGGCGTTCAACACTTCACGTGGCCTCAACGTGCACCTAGCCTGGCACAAGCGCCGTGGTGACGTCACCGCCACTCAGTGGCGAATGGCGGTTGTTATTGGTGGTGGTGGTGGTGTTAGTTATGATGATGATGATGGTGACGATGTAGATGATGATGTAGTTGATGGGTATTGATGCTGGCGATGACGACGTTGACCGATGATGACGACAATGATATTGCCGAATTACGACGACGACGATGATGATGTTGGTGATGACAACGACGATGATGATGACGACGACGATTATGACGTTGGTGAAGACGACGACGACGATGATGACGACGACGATGATGATGACGACGACGATTATGACGTTGGTGAAGACGACGACGACGATGATGACGACGACGATGATGATGACGACGACGATTATGACGTTGGTGATGACGACGACGATGATGATGACGACGACGACGACGATGATGATGTTGGTGATGACGACGACGATGATGATGACGACGACGATTATGACGTTGGTGATGACGACGACGATGATGATGACGACGACGATGATGATGACGACGCCGATTATGACGTTGGTGATGACGACGACGATGATGACGTTGGTGATGACGACGACGATGATGATGACGACGACGACGATGATGACGTAGGTGATGACGACGACGATGATGATGACGACGACGATGATGACGTTGGCGAACAACAACGCCGTTCAACACTGACGGCAGTAGGGGTGGTGGTGGGTGGGTGGGCGGGTGGTGTGCCCCACCTGCCAAGCAGCGTGAAGTGCCCGCCGAGACCGAGGCGCTTGAGCGCAGCGAGGAGGCCTCGCACGGTCATCCCCTCGCAGAAGCAGACCACAACTCGCGCGTGGGGCAGCTTCAGCTGCAGCTTCGCCACCAGGCGCTCGAAGTTGTCCTCCTCCGCGTTGCTGTAGATCTTGTCGGCGTGAGCGATGCAGATGCCAGCCTCGGCCGCCAGCTCCCTGAACGCCTCCATGCCGCTCTCTCCGTAATTGCCTGCGAGGAGGAGGGGGGAGGAGGAGGGGGAGGAGGGGGGAGGAGGAGGAGGGGGAGGAGGGGAGGAGGGGGAGGGAGAAGGAGGGAGGAGGGGGAGGGAGAAGGAGGGGGAGGGAGGAGGGTGGAGGAGGAGGAGGGAGGAGGAGTATGGAGGAGGAGGAGGAGGAGGGAGAAAGGGGAGGGAGGAGGATGAAGGAGGAGGGAGGTAGGGAGGGAGAAGGGGGAGGGAGGAGGGTGGAGGAGGGAGGAGGAAGATTGAGGAGGAGGAGGAGGAGGAGGGGAGGGAGGAGGGGAGGGGGCGGGGTGGGAGGGAGAGGGGGGGAAGTCGGGAGGGGGGACACGATGCTATCATCATCATCACTCTCCTTTAAAGCCAGAAGACCTCACCGCGTCTCGGGACTCCGTTTTCAGGAGGGTCCCGCCAGGCTATGAGCCTCAAGTGAAATATAATGCCTTGACGTGCGCCTCTCCGGGCACGCTGTCCCTCGTTCGGCTGCTGTTGCTGTGGAGCGACGTCGGTGATTTGACGTCGAGGAGGTGGTTAATGAGCCAGATGATTGCGTAGGGAGTGGCGCTGTGGTGCACGGTCGCTCTGATGGAGGCTGCCCTCCTTCGTACGCGAAGGAATCGTCACTCCAGATCGAGGCGTGTGCGGTGTCTTTTTGACCACGGGGCTACTCTTGAAAAGAACGCCACGGGGTTTGTAACGCTCACTGTGAGTGAAGAGGGACGGCGCTCACACACATACACACATACACATATACACAGAGATACACACACACACTACTCACACACACCACACACACACATACACACACACGTACACATCACTCACACAACAACCGCCATTCGCCACTAAGTGGCGGTGACGTCACCACGACGCTTGTGCCAGGCCATGTGCACCTTGAGGCCACGTGAAGTGTCGAATGGCCGCTGGCAGGAGGTTCACGGGGCAGACCCAAGTGCCACGGGTCGACTGACTAAGATGATTGAGATGACTGGCTGATGCACCACCTGTGCCCCCTACTGTGCCAATCTGCTGTGCTTTAACTACCCGGCGCTCCGCTCGTTGTTGTGAGCGTCGCTCCTCCGCCCTCCGTTGTTGTTGGAGGGCAACTGCCTCCAACTGCCCAGTAGCATCCTTCACGAGCCTCCTCCACAGAGGCCGATCTTGACACCGCTGGTACCAGTCATCAGCAAGTCCACTCAGCTCCACGTCCTCCTGTACCACATCACTCCATCTCTTCTCTAGCCAGTGACGCGCCCGTTTAGCCCCCTCGATCCGGCCGAACAAAAGCTGTTTCGGCATGCGGTGGCTGGGCATGCGTGCTACATGACCCAGCCAACGCAGACTTGCCTGCCGGAGGAGCTCACCGATGGGACCTTGCCCAGATCTTTCAAGGATTTGTGAGCTCCTCACACAATCCAGCCTGGTTAAACCCAGGATGGATCGTAGGCAGGCTAGCCTAAATGTTTCTAACCGGCGAAGATGTTCCATTAGGGGGGTCCACGTTTCGTAAGCGTAGAGAAGGGAGGGAATGACCGTGGCCGAGAAGACCTGAAGCTTAGTGCGGAGCGACAGACCAGGTAGCTTCCACACAGCGTTACGCAACCGATGAAAAAATATTGCCGCTCGACTGATTCGGAGTGAGACCTCTGCTGTTAAACTGGAGCCGGTCTTAAGCACACTGCCCAGGTATGGGAAACTCTCCACTCTCTCCACAATTGCCCCATCACCGATTGGGAGTTGTGGGGGTGGAGTGTCCGATGGTACAAAATACCCAGGCAAGTGCTTAGTTTTGGTGGGGCTAATGGTGAGGCCCCATCTCTTAGTGGCACGCTCCAGTTTCAGCAGCAGCGTCTCCAACTCATCTGAATGAGCAGCTATTACCAAATCATCGGCATACATAACGTGGTTGAGCAATAAGGAGCCATCCCTTGACCGCACCCGGGCATCACTCACACATACACACACACACCACTCACACACCACCCCCACACACACACATCACTCACACACACATACACATAACTCACACACACACACACCACTCACACACATGCACCACTCACACATACACACCACTCACACACATACACACAATACACATACACACCACTCACACACACATACACACATACACATCATTCACACACATACACACCACTCACACACACACACATCACTCACACACACACCACTCACAAACACATACACATCACTCACACACATACACACCACTCACACACACACATACACACGACTCACACACATACACACCACTCACACACACATACACACCACTCACACACACATACACACCACTTACACACAGACATACACACCACTCACACACATACATACACACCACTGACACACATACACACCACTCACACACACATATACACCACTCACACACACACACCACTCACACACACATACATACACACACATACACACCACTCACACACACCACTCACACACACACCACGCACACATAGACACACACGCCACGCACACACACACAACTCACACATAAACACACACACCACCCACACATACACACACCACGCACACACATACACCACTCACACACCACTCACACTACACACCCCACACACACCACTCACACGGTATTAACCAGGGCTGCCGCTCAACTCGAACGGCTAAAGCCTCCGCGACAGACGGCGAGCGCGTTACCGCTGTTCCGCGCGTGACCGTTGCAGAGGTAAAAGCGCAGCTCCGAAATGTGCTCGCAAACATCACTGCCAGTGGATGGCCACCAACCACACCTCCTGTCACTCTTCTTACCGCTACTACTTCCTGCTGCTGCTACTGCTGCTACTGCTACTACTCCCTGCTGCTACTACTGCTGCTGCTACTGCTGCTACTGCTGCTACTGCTGCTGCTACTACTCCCTGCTGCTGCTACTGCTGCTGCTGCTACTGCTGCTGCTGCTTGCTGCTGCTACTGTTGCTGCTACTGTTGCTGCTACTGCTGCTACTGCTACCAATCCCTAATGCTGCTACTGCTGCTGCTACTGCTGCTACTGTTGCTGCTACTGTTGCTGCTACTGCTACTACTCCCTGCTGCTGCTGCTGCTACTGCTGCTACTGCTGCTGCTACTACCGTGGTCACTTTGCCCGTGACCTTCACTCGGTAATTCCACCACGGGGTGGCGAGCACCCGCCCGAGGTGACACCCTGCTCGCGTTGAGCCCCTGTTTAGAGCCCTGGGGCAGAGACAGGGATTTCCACGTTCCTATGTCGGGGGAGAGTCTGCTCACGCACGCCTTTGGGCCGATTCGTGAAAGACTTTCGCTCCCCCGATCGGTTGTATGTAGTGAGGGAAAAAAGTATTTGATCCCCTGCTGATTTTGTACGTTTGCCCACTGACAAAGAAATGATCAGTCTATAATTTTAATGTTAGGTTCATTTGAACAGTCAGAGACAGAATAACAACAACAAAAAATCCAGAAAAACGCATGTCAAAAATGTTATGAATTGATTTGCATTTTAATGAGGGAAATAAGTATTTGACCCCCTCTCAATCAGAAAGATTTCTGGCTCCCAGGTGTCTTTTATACAGGTAACGAGCTGAGATTAGGAGCACACTCTTAAAGGGAGTGCTCCTAATCTCAGCTTGTTACCTGTATAAAAGACACCTGTCCACAGAAGCAATCAATCAATCAGATTCCAAACTCTCCACCATGGCCAAGACCAAAGAGCTCTCCAAAGATGTTAAGGACAAGATTGTAGACCTACACATGGCTGGAATAGGTTACAAAACCATTGCCAAGCAGCTTGGTGAGAAGGTGACAACAGTTGGTGCGATTATTCGCAAATGGAAGAAACACAAAAGAACTGTCAATCTCCCTCGGCCTGGGGCTCCATGCAAGATCTCACCTCGTGGAGTTGCAATGATCATGAGAACGGTGAGGCATCAGCCCAGAACTACACGGGACGATCTTGTCAATGATCGTAAGGCAGCTGGGACCATAGTCACCAATAAAACAATTGGTAACACACTACGCCATGAAGGACTGAAATCCTGCAACGCCCGCAAGGTCCCCCTGCTCAAGAAAGCACATATACATGCCCGTCTGAAGTTTGCCAATGAACATCCGAATGATTCAGAGGACAACTGGGTGAAAGTGTTGTGGTCAGATGAGACCAAAATGGAGCTCTTTGGCATCAACTCAACTCGCCGTGTTTGGAGGAGGAGGAATGCTGCCTATGACCCCAAGAACACCATCCCCACCGTCAAACATGGAGGTGGAAACATTATGCTTTGGGGGTGTTTTTCTGCTAAGGGGACAGGACAACTTGACCGCATCAAAGGGACGATGGACGGGGCCATGTACCGTCAAATCTTGGGTGAGAACCTCCTTTTCTCAGCCAGGGCATTGAAAATGGGTCGTGGATGGGTATTCCAGCATGACAATGACCCAAAACACACGGCCAAGGCAACAAAGGAGTGGCTCAAGAAGAAGCACATTAAGGTCCTGGAGTGGCCTAGCCAGTCTCCAGACCTTAATCCCATAGAAAATCTGTGGAGGGAGCTGAAGGTTCGAGTTGCCAAACGTCAGCCTCGAAACCTTAATGACTTGGAGAAGATCTGCCAAGAGGAGTGGGACAAAATCCCTCTTGAGATGTGTGCAAACCTGGTGGCCAACTACAAGAAATGTCTGACCTCTGTGATTGCCAACAAGGGTTTTGCCACCAAGTACTAAGTCATGTTTTGCAGAGGGGTCAAATACTTATTTCCCTCATTAAAATGCAAATCAATTTATTAGATTTTTGACATGCGTTTTTCTGGATTTGTTTTGCTGTTATTCTGTCTCTCACTGTTCAAATAAACCTACCATTAAAATTATAGAATTATAATTTATTTGTCATTGGACAAACGTACAAAATCAGCAGGGGATCAAAATACTTTTTCCCTCACTGTATAACCTTATAACACATGTATTAATATATATATGGTGTGTGTCAGTGGT